TCAATCAAGGATAGCCATAAAGAAATAAGAAGTGAGGAAGTATATGTCACTAAAGGTGACTATAAAACCACTGTGAAACAAAGGAACACCACTAAAGACACTGTGTCCATATTGTAATTCTACCAAAGATCAACTAGACATGCTAAAATCAGCTCTGCAGTGAATGCCTCAGGTGTAAAGGGACCATATTTAGAAAGGGAAGAGAATCCTAGATGCATATTTGCTCACTGTTTTCCTCAAATTTGAATTAAAAAATAAATACAAAAGAACCTAGTTTTGCTCAAGAAAATCATGTAATTAAACTAAAAGTTTCCTGGCAAACACAAAATGCTAACCTTTATGTTTTCTGTTAAGACCACGAGCATGGAAATGGCTTCAGTGAAATTCACTCCTCCACTCAACAGATACTTATTGCCTACCAGGAGTCCGCATTCCATAGAGTCATCTCTCTTTGGAATGGGCACACATATGGATCTCTTCCAATCAGTCAGCACAGACAAGTGAGTGCCTCCAGTGCTATCTCACTTTCTTGAAAGACTTCCATCTTTATTCCATCAATTCCTAGTGTCTTTTTCTTCAATTCCTTCAATGCACCTTGGACTTCTTCCTTCAATACTATTGATTCTTGATCATATGCTACCTCTTGAAATGGTTGAACATCAACCATTTCCTTTTGGTACAGTGACTCTATGTATTCCCTTCATCTTCTTTTGATGCTTTCTGCATCATTCAATAATTTGCCCAGAGAATCCTTCAGTAATGAAAGTCAAGGCTTGAATTTTTTTCTTCAGTTCTCACAGCTTGAGAAATGCTGAACATGTTCTTCCCTTTTGGTTTTCTGACTCCAGATATTTGCGCATTTCGTTGTAATATTTGACGTTGTCTTCTCGAGCAGTCTTTTTGAAATTTTCTGTTCAGCTCTTGTACCTCCTCATTTCTTCCATTTGCTTTAGTATCTCAACACTAAATATCAAATTTTAGTGTCTCTTCTGAAACCTATTTTGAGCTTTTCCTTCTTCTTGTCTCCTTAATGACTTTTTGCTTTCTTACTATAATGTTCTTGATGTCATCCCACAACTCTTCTGGTCTTCTGTTTTTAGTGTTTAGTATATCAAATCTGTTCTTCAGATGATCTCTAAATTCAGGTGGGATGTATTTAGGGTCATATTTTGGCTCTCGTGGACTTGTTTTCATTTTCTTCAGCTTCAGTTTGAATTTGTGTATGAGCAATTGATGGTCTGTTCCACAGTCTGCCCCTGGCCTTATTTTGAGTGATGATATGGAGCTTTTCCATTGTCTCTATCCACAGATGCTGTCAATTTGATTTCTATGTATTCTATCTGATGAGGTCCATGTGTATAATCATCTCTTATGTTGTCTAAAGAAAGTATTTGAAATGAACAGATCATTGACTTTGCAGAATTCTATCATGTGATCTCCTGCATCATTTCCATCACCAAGGCCATATTTTCCAAATACTGGTCCTTCCTCTTTGTTCCCAACCTTTGCATTCCAATTACCAGTAATGATCAACACATCTTGATTGCATGTTTGATAAATTTCAGACTGAAGAAGTTGGTAGAATTCTTTTATTTTGTCCTCACTGGCTTTAGTGGTAGATGCATAAATTTGAATAATAGTGGTATTAACTGGTCTTCCCTGTTGGCGTATGGATATCTTCCTATCACAGACAGCAGTGTACCTCATGACTTACCTGGATATATTCTTTTTGACAATTAATACAGCATCATTCCTTTTCAATTTGTCATTTCCAGCATAGTAAACCCTGTAGTTGTGAGATTCAAAATGGCCACTACAAGTCCATTTAAGCTCACTAATACCTAAGATATCTATGTTTATGTGTTCCATTTCATTTTTTATAATTTCCAATTTGCCTAGATTCATACTTCATACATTCCATGTTCTGATTATTAATGGATGTTTACAGCTGTTTCTCTTCATTTTGAGTTGTGCCCCATCAGCAAATGAAGGTCCCACGGGCTTTATTCCCACGGGCTTTACTCCAGTCATGTCACCACAGTCAACTCTACTTTGAGGAAGCAGCTCTTCCCCAGTTGCATTTTGATTGCCTTCCAACCCGAGGGGCTCATTTTCTGGCAGTATATCTGACAGTGTTTCTCTGCTATTCATAAGGACAATATCTTTTGATATCCCATGTGAGTAGTTTTACTAAAGGTAATACAGAAACGGCTATAAGCATACACTGACAGAGAACTTTCAGAGGTTCAAGCCAGATTCAGAAGAGGCCGGGGAATCTGGAAAATCATTGCTGATGTCCGATGGATTTTGGCCAAAAGCAGAGAATACCAGAAAGAAGCTTACCTGTGCTTTATTGGCTACACAAAGACTCTCAATTGGGTGGATAATGACAAGCTATGGACAACATTGCAGAGTATGAGTATTCCGGAACACTTAATTGTGCTCATGAGGAATCTATGCCTAGACCTAGAGGCAGTTTTTTAAACAGAACATGGGAACACTGAATGGTTTTAAATGAAGAAAGGTATGTGACAAGGTTGTATTCTTTCACCATACTTATTCAACCTGTATGCTGAGCAAATAATCCGAGAAGCTGGGTTCTATGAAGAAAAATGTGGCATCAGGATTGGAGGAAGACTCATTAACAACCTGCGATATGCAGATGATACAACCTTGCTTGTTGAAAGTGAAGAGAACTCAAAATACTGACTGAAGAAGGTCAAAGACCACAGCCTTTTGGTATGGAATGTATATCAACAAAAAGAAAACAAAAATCCTCACCACTGGCCCAATAAACAACATTCTTCTCAACGGAGAAAACATTGAAGTTGTCAAGGACTTCATTCTTCTTAAATCAGTTGTCAACACTCATGGAAGCAGCAGTCCAGAAATCAAACGATGTATTGCATTAGGCAAATCTGCTGCACAAGACCTTTTTTTTTTTAAGTGTTGAAGAGCAAAGGTGTCAGGTTGAGGACTAAGGTGTGCCTGACCCAAGCCATGGCATTTTCAATAACCTCATATGCATGCGAAACCTGGACAGTGAATAAAGAAGACCATAGAAGAATTGATGCATTTGACTTATGGTGCTGGAGGAGAATATTGAAAGTGCCGTGGGCTACCAAAAGAACAAACAAATCTGTGTTGGAAAAAGTGCAGCTAGAGTGCTCCTTGGAAGTCAGGATGGCCAAACTTCATCTCTCATACTTCAACATATTGTCAGGAGGGACCAGTCGCTGGAGAAAGATACCATGTTTGGTAAGGTGGAGGGTCAGAGTAAAAGAGGAAGACACCCAGCGAGATGGATTGGCAAAGTGACAGCATCAATTGGCTCAAGTATGGCAACAATAGTGAGGTTGGCCCAGGACCGGGCAGTGTTTCGTTCTGCTGTGCATAGGGTTGCTTTGAGTCGGCACCAACTTGATGGCACCTAACAACAACAACCAAGAGTCCTGGTGTGGCACTGTGGGTTAATGCACTGGACTACATTTGAACTGCAAGGTTGGTGACTCAAATTCACCAGCTGTTCCTCAGAAACCCTATATAGGGTTACTATGGGTCAGAATTGATTGATGGCACATAACAACCAGGAGTCCTGGTGTGGCATTGCCTGATCAGCACCGGACTGCTAACCACAAGGTTGGTGGTTCAAACCCACCAACTGTTCCTTGGAAACCCTATACAAAGTCACTATGAGTCAGGACTGATTCAACAGCACTTAACAATAGCAATGTGTGTCTACTGGATGCTAGAAATGATATCGTGATGAAATGGCACCTCAATTCCTAACCTGGTGTAGCACTGTAGGATAAGTGCAGAGCCACTAGGTCGGTTTGAACCACAAACCAGGCCATACAAACTCACCCACCATGCCTCGGAAACACTATACTGGGTCTCTATGAGTCAGAACTGACTCAACAGCACTTAACAACAATGACAATGGCTAACCTACACCAGCTTGTTGTACTATGGGGGCTTACAAGTTGCTATAATGCTGGAGGCTCTGCTGCTTCTAGCCCATGTTAAACAGGTTTTAGCAGAGCTTCCAGATTAAGAGAAACTGGAAAGAAAGACTTGGCAAAGATTTAGCCAATGAACACTTCATGGACAATAACCGATCAGTGTACAACTCACTTGTATTGAACAAACTATCAGAAGAGATGATTCATTGAAGAAGAACATTCTGTTTGGTGATATGAGTGGAGAAGACCCTCAGAGAGATAAACTGGTACAGTAGCTGCAACCATGGATTCGAACATGTTGGTGACTGTGAATATGACTCAGAACCGGGCACTGTTTTGTTCTGTTATGCAGAAGGTCTCATGAGTTAAGGTCAACTCAATGGCAGCTAAGAATAGAATTCTTCAACTTATATTATAAAAAAGGATATATGAAAAACACAGAAATAACTAAAATGTGGTATAATGAAACTGAGCTAAGCAAGTTAGGGCTTTAGAAGAAGAGTTTGAGTTTTTATTTTTGTATTGGAAGGATCACAGTTAATTCACATATTCATACCAGCTAAAGTCAAGATTTTCTAAGGACACATTTAGACACTTAATAAAGAACAGCAGTTCTTGAACCATCTGCTTTGCTCCAAAATGAAGATCCATCACACATTCCAATCTTGTGAGAAGATTATTGTCAGCTGGGCTAGGTAACATTTAGTTTATTGCTGGCATGGCAAACAAATAATGCCTTATAAAATAGTTCGAGTCAATGTCTCTTTGAAGAGAGAAAAAAAAAAAAACTAAATTAAACATCAGGTGAGTCCAAAAATCACTCACTTTCAACAAGCTCCTTTGATCCATTTAAGTGTCCTGTTACTAATCTCCTGATGAAGAACTACGCAAAACACAGAATGTAGAGTGAACAACAGTACCCTGTTATAGCCAGACAAAGGTATATTAATACCCTCAAGAGGTCTTTTTGTTTGTTTTTAAGGAAATCTTTCCCCAAACTCATCATTAAAAAAACACAGATTTGTATTGTATTCTTACCTGGTAAGGAACAATACTTCCATGAGCCGTGCCCCAGCGTTGAGCTTCCTTTTGGCCCATAAGATAATTAGCAGCTACCTGGGTCAAGCATGCCACCTATCAAAGGGGAAAAAAAGAAAAAAATACTAGTTACTTGCATTGATAAACTGATAGCTGTAGTCTGAAAAGTCTCCATTTCACTTCATGCACTTTTAGACAAAAACATTTTTTCAACTGTCCAAACAGGTTAGAAAACATATAGCCATTACCCACTGCCACTGAGTCGATCCAAACTCGCAGGGACCCTATAGGACATCATAGAACCACTCCACAGGATTTCTGAGACTATAAATTGTCTCATAATTTATAAATTTCTGAGACTATAAATTGTCTCAGAAGCAGGCAATTTCCAGTATATGAGGGGCTTCAAAAAGTTTAAATTGCAAGATAATGGAATTTTTCCAAAAACTTTCCAAGCCGCCTCACAGGAGACAATTGGAAAGGGAAGTCTAAATTAGCATTCTCCATAAAGAACCAGATTCCATCTCATGGTGACCCCATATGTTGCAGAGTAAAACAGTGCCCATAAGATTTTCAAGGCAGACTAGAAAACAGATCACAAAGCCTTTCTTCTGAGGTAGCTCTCGATGGGTTCAAACTGCTAACCTTTCAATGACTAGTCAAGCATTTAACCATTTAACTAACACGCCATAGTTTCAGGAAAACGATTTCTGCCTTTATGATATGATCCTTTTGACTTATTGATTCCATTCTAGATCATCAGTTGTTATTGGGCATCCATCAGCTCAGTAATTCGAAGAGCTCCTGGAATAATAAAGGGATGATTTTTCAGGGTTTGGCGCCTCACCTGGCCATCGCCCTCTACCTGACACGACCATTCAGCCTGGATGAGTCACCTTGCACCAACAACCACTCTCTATTACTTTGTTCTTAGGATTTACACTCACTTTTATGTTCATCTACAGTTCTGTGGAAATTGAAACTGCTTCGTGGCAACTGGTTCAGCTATACTTCCAGGTGGCAAAACTAATAAACTTTGAGTCATCCACTTCTGGACCTCCATCTGGGCCTTTGAACCATAGAGCATTCCAGGGTTGCCTGGGGCTGCCTAGTATTAATCACCATTTCACAGAGTACTTCTGTGTCTTTCAAAATGGAAAATCAAATCAACATTTTGTAATAAAAATAGGACAGTCTAGATTCAGTTTGTAATATCTGTCAACCTCTAAGTAGTTGTACGATGTGGGCATGCAATTTAGCTTCTTTGACCTTCAGATACATTCTTTATAAAATCTTAGGTATTTGAATTAAGCCAATGGTTTTCAAACTTTTTTAAAAAGGAGAACTTTGTTTGCTTTTTTATAAATTAAATAATACATGAAACCCTATACGAGTTTGTAAGTAAATAAGTTATGTGGTTAAAGCAGAGGCAGGCCTGAAACCCTAACTCAGGTAGCATGTCTGCAGAACACAATTTCCAAACTACTAAATGGTCCTATCACCATTCATCTGACAGTTTGTTGTATTGTGATGGCTTATGTGTTATTGTGATGCTGTAAGCTATGTCTCTGGTATTTTAAATACCAGCAGGAAGAAAGGCAGAAAGGTCTCAGCTGAGCATCCAGACTAAGAGAGACTAGAAGCAGATGTGGACTACTTCAAACATTTTACCACTAAAAACCTGGAACACTGTCAGCACCAGAATCTTAATAGCACAAGTAAACTGTCAGATATAGTGTAATTACTCGGATGCAATTTCAGACTAATGCTGAAAAAAATGTAAAAAAAAAAAATCCAGGAGAGTTAAAATGTGACTTAGAACTTATCCCATCTGAATTTAGAGACCAACTCAAAAATGGAATTGATATATGAGACACTAATGACTGAGGACCAGAAGAGCTGGGGAATGACATCAAGAGCATCATACAGGAAGAAAGCAAAAGTTCATTAAAAAGCCAGGAAACAAAGAAAATACCAAAATGGATGTCAAAACGTGCTCTTCAGTGTATAGATGTCAAAGCAAATTGAAGAAATTAAGAGGTAAAAAAGCTGAATAGAAAATTTCAAAGGGCAGTTCAAGAAGACAAAATTCAGTATAATGAAATGTACAAAGAAGGACCTAGCATTACAAAACCAAAGAGAAGGACACGCTCAGCATTTTTCAAGCTGAAAGAATTGAAGAAAAAATTCAAGCATCGACTTGAAATATTGAAAAATAGTGTGGTGCTGTAGAATAAGCACTGGATTGCTATGCACAAAATCATCAGTTCAATACCACCCGCCCCTCCTTGGAAACTCTATACATTTCTATGCCAGAAATGATCTGGTGGTACTTAATAACACTCATGGTCAAAATATTGAAAGATGCAGGAAGAAAATTTAAATTAAAAGAAAATTAAAGGTATACATAGAGTCACTGTACAAAAAAGAAATAGCCAATGTTCAACCATTAAAAATGTAACATATGCTCAAGAACCTATGATACTGAAGGAAGATTTTCAAGCTGCACTGAAAGTATGGAAAGAATACAAATTGAAATATTCCAACAAACTGATGCAGCAATGGAAGTGCTCACTCATCTATGCCAAGAGATTTGTAAGACAATTACCTGGCCAACCAACCAGAAGAGATCCATATTTATGTCCATTCCAAAGAGAGGTGACCCATAAGAATGCAGAAATCATCTAATAACATCATTAATATGATATGCAAGTTCCATTTTTCTGAAGGTAACTAAAATATGGCTGAATCAACAGGGAACTGCCAGAAACTCAAGCTGGATTCAGAAGAGGACATGGAAATAGGGATATCATTGCTGACATCAGGTGGCTCTTAAATGGAAGCAGAGAACACTAGAAAGATGTTTACTTGTGCTTTATTGACTATGCAAAGGCTTTTGGCTGTGTGGACCATGACAAGCTATGGATAACATTGCAAATAATGGGTATTCCAGAACACCTGATTGCACTTATGAGGAACCTGTACCAGAACAAGAGGCAGTCATTAGAACAAAACAATGGGATACTGGATGGCTTAAAGTCAGGAAAGGTGGGCACCAGGGCTATATTCTTTACCATACATATTCAATCTGTATGCTAAGCATACAAGAATCTGGATTATATGAAAAAGTGTATGGCATCAGGATTAAAGGAAGACACATCAACAACCTGTGATACGCATATGATACAACTTTGCTTGCTGGAAGCAAAGAGGACTTTAAAAACATACTTATGAAGATCACAGGCTTGCTTGTGCGGACTGTAGGGCAGTCCGGTGCACAAGACGTGGCTTTCCGTTCCATCGTGCCATGAGCATCCCGGCCCTGCCCCAGGACCTGCAGCTACCACCTAGTCAAAGGACCCAGCGTGCGTTCAAAGAGCAAAGAAGAAAACAACTTGAGCAACATTTATTAAAAAGAAAAACACTTTTTGAATATAAACAGGAACATCAGATATTATCCAGAAAACAGAGTGTGATGACATCCAAGGACCAGATTCAAAATAGAAAAAACATCCTGAAACTTAAAACAAAAATGGCTAATAAAGAAAACACAGATAGACCTACACAGAGCAAAAACAATGTAACAATGGGAACAAATTTTATTCCTTCAAAATCTTCCAATGAATTAACCAATTCAATTTTAGAAATTGATACAAATAATTTTGAGGATGGTAATCAATATCTTCAGTTGTTACAAACTAAAGATGATGTTCCAAATCAACATATGACATTTAGCTAGGCATTTCACTTAAAAAAATAATAATAAAAAGAAACAAATGCCACAGAAAAATTGAAGCAAGAAGCTAACATGCCCAAAACTTGTGCTTGGGTCTTAATGTGGCCAAGTTGTTGCATCTAAGATTAATTCATTCAGAAAACCTTTACAAGTCAAAGATGAGACTTCTATAGCAAACAAGAAACTTTCAACTAATGTTTCTTATGCCAGCAAGCCTCAGCTTCTGACCACGAGCAGTGTACCAGTGAAAGGTAACAGAGCCTCAAATGTGACAACCATCACTAAAAATTGAAAGCACTGCATCTCAGAACAAACTTGTGCAACCTCCTATTAGAAGCCACCACGATAGTGGCCAAGACAAGCAGAAACAATGCATCATCAAAGCCTCTGCCAATCTTACAGTTCAGAAAGGGACTCATAGAAAAGAATTAGTTCAATTAAAAACTGATGTATCGTCTGTCAAAATCAGTTTTCAGGACATAAAAAGAAATGAGGCACAATCAAAAAGTATAGCATCTGGAAATGTAACCAAACCTGCCTCATCTTCTCATACCAAATTGATAGAAAAGTCAAAAACCACCAACCAGCGAAGACATACTATAGCAGCAAAGACAAATGTCAATAATAAATCTGCTCATCCCAAAGAAACTGTGGAACAGAGAAAAGCTTATCTGACTGAGTGGAAAGCTGACAAAGGGAGAGTGCTGAAAAGGCTTCCTAGCTCAGTAGTTACCCAGCCTGAACCGGAAGGACAAAATGAAAACCCAGTTAGGTCCTTCTGGACCACCATGGCAGAAGAAGATGAACAAAGATTATTTACTGAAAAAGTAAACAAGACATTTTCTGAGTGCCTGAACCTGATTAATAAAGGATGCCCAAAAGAAGAAATACTGGTCACACTGAATGACATAATTAAAAATATTCCAGATGCCACAAAACTTGTTAAGTATTGAGTTTGCCTTGCACGTCTTGAACCTGTCACAAGTCCTATTGAAAATATTATTGCCATCTATGAAAAGGCCATACTGACAGGGGCGCAGCCTATTGAAAAGATGCGACATGCAACTGCAGATATTTTAACCAGGAAGAGTCAAGAAATAATTACTTTTGGAGAGAACACTGAGGGTGCTTGTGCAACTAAACAACAAGTCCAAGAAGTCAACATTGACGACCTAGGTGTTCATCTAGAGCCAGGAAGACTGGAAATGGGAAATATTCATGGAAGTGCAGTACTTCATGATTATAATAAAGTGCAAGAAGACAAAACAACACATCCAGCTAATGATGTTAAAACTCCTGATAAAGAAACCAGGGAGAGTTGCTTGATTAAATTTAATGTATCTCTTACACCATACTTACA